TGTAGCTGACTTATATGTCGTGTAGTTTACACTCTAATTTGTAGTTGACTTGTATGTCGTGTTGTTTACACTCTAATTTGTAGCTGACTTATATGTCGTGTAGTTTACACTCCAATTTGTAGCTGACTTATATGTTGTGTAGTTTACACGCTAATTTGTAGCTGACTTATATGTCGTGTTGTTTACACTCTGATTTGTATTTGACTTATGTGTTGTGTTGTTTACACTCCAATTTGTAGTTGACTTGTATGTCATGTTGTTCACACTGATTTGTAGCTGACTTGTATGTTGTGTAGTTTACACTCCAATTTGTAGCTGACTTATACGTTGTGTAGTTTACACTCCAATTTGTAGCTGACTTATATGTTGTGTAGTTTACACTCCAATTTGTAGCTGACTTATATGTTGTGTAGTTTACACTCTGATTTATAGCTGACTTATATGTTGTGTAGTTTACACTTCAATTTGTAGCTGACTTATATGTTGTGTAGTTTACACTTCAATTTGTAGCTGACTTATATGTTGTGTAGTTTACACTTCAATTTGTAGCTGACTTATATGTTGTGTAGTTTACACTCTAATTTGTAGTTAACTTGTATGTTGTGTAGTTTACACTCTGATTTGTAGTTGACTTATATGTTGTGTAGTTTACACTCTGATTTGTAGTTGACTTATATGTTGTGTAGTTTACACTTTGTAGTTGACTTATATGTTGTGTAATTTACACTCTAATTTGTAGTTGACTTCTATGTCGTGTTGTTTACACTCTAATTTGTAGTTGACTTGTATGTCGTGTTGTTTACACTCTAATTTGTAGTTGACTTATATGTTGTGTAGTTTACACTCTAATTTGTAGTTGACTTGTATGTCGTGTTGTTTACACTCTAATTTGTAGTTGACTTCTATGTCGTGTTGTTTACACTCTAATTTGTAGTTGACTTATATGTTGTGTAGGTTACACTCTAATTTGTAGTTGACTTGTATGTCGTGTTGTTTACACTCCAATTTGTAGTTGACTTGTATGTCGTGTTGTTTACACTCTAATTTGTAGTTGACTTGTATGTCGTGTTTTTACACTCTAATTTGTAGTTGACTTGTATGTCGTGTTTTTACACTCTAATTTGTAGTTGACTTGTATGTCGTGTTTTTTACACTCTAATTTGTAGTTGACTTGTATGTCGTGTTTTTACACTCTAATTTGTAGTTGACTTGTATGTCGTGTTTTTTACACTCTAATTTGTAGTTGACTTGTATGTCGTGTT